GTAAACAATGTTAAAGATATAAAGAGACGGTCTAGTGTTTTAGAGAATCCGACAAAAGATCGTCCCCGTCCCCCAAGAACACGTCCACCCTCGTTATCTCCAATAAAATTATCTAATAAAAATCTTACCGATACTCATCCCACAAACTCTTCCGACAACACCCAATCTGATTTGATTTCTAGAGATTCCTTTCAAAGTCTTGCTCCCATTATATCTTCTCTTTCTCCAAAACAACGTTCTCCTACTTTTAACACTTTTAATTTAACTGATGATGATAATGATATTCATTCTCTTTCTCGATCTCCATTAGATAGATTATCTGATGGTCTTTTACGTCTTTCTCAATCTTCAGCCGGAAAATCTTTAGCTACTCCTTTCAGCAGTCCTGAAAATGAAATTTTTCCACTTCAAGGTTCATTATTATTATCAAGAGAATCTTCAACGACTGAAGGTTCGAATAATTATCAATATTCCGATTCAAACACTACACACGTTCCTTCCACCATTTCAATTTATAATGCTGATTATAACGATTATGGCAATTATGAAGAATTACAAGGCGAATCTTTAAATAATAATCTCACTCATATGACTTCTAAGCAGTTAAATCATCCTAATTCTTTATCATCGAATAATTCTTCTTTTGATCGTGATTCAAATACAATAGTCCAATCACCACAAAATACGAATAGTGTTATTAGTGTCTATTCAAATGAAAAGATTAGTCATCATATTACTTCTGATCAATATAAATTAGTCGATGATAAAATTGAACAACCTAATGATGTTAACGTACGGATTGGATATGCCAAACAACAAGCTGCTCCTCTTTATACATCAGATGGTAATTATGCAAAACCAATTATGATACAACTTGGAGGCAAAGCTTCAACTGGTTCTCAGAAAACTAATGTCACACCTGAATTACCCGGAAAACGTACTTTACGATCAGTTGCACCTCCAAAACCACAACCTCCTCCATTATCACTTACTGATACTTTAATTGCATCAGGACAAAGCGATATTGCACATCAAGTTATGATAATGAGAAGAGTACAAAATGCTAATGAAAATTTCAACTTACATTCAAATAATTCACCACGTAAATGGACAAAGTCAAAGAATAATACCATAAAATCAATATCAGGTCCACAATTGGTGTCAACTTCCTCAAATATAAAAGCAGTACCTATTGTAACCCTTGGGAATGAAGATGAGAGAAACAATGCAAAGTTTCGAAGAAAATTTTCTTTACGTGAAACTGATACTGGCCTTGGAAAGTCACTAAAAAAGATTAAAGATGTATTTATAAGTGATAATGAACCAAATAAATCAGGTTTATTTGGTAGTAAGAAACCAAAACATGGTACTTCTACATCACCAGACTCTTCTACTGATAACTTACCAAGAAAGTTTGTTAGTGAAGAAAATTTGAATCAAAGATTTAATAATGCCGAAAAGAAAGGTTTTGATCTTGGAAAAAGGCGGGCATATAGCACTAGAGAGAATAGGCCAAATGAAGCTTTAAGACAAGAAATTCGTAATAATTTCGCACATGTTATGAACGAAAGAGAACAAATCATATCAGAATATGATATGAATAAT